TAGAAAGTGGTTTTGTTATAGGGATGGCAGTGTTGGTTCAGCATTGGAAGATCCACCCCCAAAAGTCATCATTTTAACAGAGGAAAGGAAAAAAATAATGCAAAAATCACTAAATTTTAAAAGCATGTTACTTACTATGTGTAGAACTAACTGTAAAGGAATTTAGCTAAAAAGATCTTGCAAAAAGAAAAGCTTTTTTTATTGTATGTATTTTAGAGTAAACACTTCTGAGTGTTTAAAAGTATCCGTCAAAGGTGATACAAGATCTCTTCCTGTCTTGTTTTCTTATCTAGGTAGTGGAGGTATATGGCCTTCTAGCCTTGGGAATGTCCTTGTGGAATCAACTGGTAGTCCCTGTACTATTCATGGTTTTCTGGCTCGTCTTATTTGCTCTTCAGATTTACTCCTATTTCAGCACTCGAGATCAGCCAGCATCACGTGAGAGGCTTCTGTTCCTTTTTCTCACAAGGTAATTAATTAGGGCCTGTGATATGAATATCTATGGCCATAGGAAGAGAAAATGTTGATGTAGGCCTAGTTCAGTTTTGAAGATTATTTTTATATATTGAGGCAGGCGGCAGAACCACTGAGCTATATATTGTACAACTTCATATTTAACTATAAGATTTTCATTCAGTAGGTACCCTAGTCTGGCACTGTAGGAAAATACTAATAGAAAAATGTTGATATATTTGGGAACCAAAGTACAGCACATAATTTGTGGAAAAGTACCTAATGAAATGTGAAAGTATTTCTTCAATTTTGAATTAGTGGATCAAAAAATACTTTTATGAAAGTAACTTATTTATTGAGTATTTAGTATATGTCACATCTAAACCCTTTGCCTCGCATTTAATCTAGCAGCCCTGAAAGATAAGAACTTTTATTGTCATTATTATTTTATATCTGAGGAAACTACCAAGAGTAACTTGCCTGGATGACTCTTACAAGCAGAACTGGCACTCAGGCCCTGTCTAAATTAAGACTGTGACATTTCTGTACATTTTAACTATCATTTAATGTTTTGCTTCAGTACTGAGATACAAATAATTGGTGAAATGGATGTATAATACTTTAGTGTTTTACCCCCTAAAAATCCTAGGGCTTGGTTTTTAAGATGTAGTTTAGGTTTTGTGTGTGTCTTTTGTCATTTAAGTCTGTTTCTCATCCCAGTATCTTTATCATGAGCTTATATTAGATCCACATATGTTACTCTTTCCCATCTTAAGTTTGAATCACAGGCCCTCAGAATCTAGCACATTGGTATATAGAACATCTTGTTTCTCTGTTTCATTGTCACTTTAAAAGACGAGAATGAAAACCTGTCTTCCTGGAAGCAAAGGAGATAAAAGTTTTGAGTTGTAGCTAATAGAGCCATTCCTTTTCAGCCATATGGTCCTATGGAGAACTCTGTACCTAGTGGTGTAGAAAATGAGAAATTTAAGACAAATGTTTAGTCCTAAATTACCATGTCATTTAAGATTGAAAATATTAACATGAATCTAAGTCGATAAATATATAAATGAATCAATCAATAAAATGTGTTTGCAATCCTATTTTAAGAAATAAGTCAGATTTTGTATTTTATGAAAATAAGTTATCTTTAATTTTTTTAAGTAGCTTTTATAATGCAGTTAGTTGGCATCAATGTCAGACACATTTGAATGATGAATTCCTCATTAAATAAGTATAGTATGTGTTTCTATTATTGTGGAGATTTTATGCAGAAATTTTAAATGATCAACAAAGTTACTGAATTTATAGAGATAGAAAATTCTGTTGTTAATAGCTGCAGTGTGGAACTGCAATTGATTATGCTTCAAACCAGACTGCTACTCATAGTAATGGACAAATTAAGATGTAACATATAGTGTTTAATAGGCTCAACAAGTCACTAAACTATGAATGAATTTGAACTTATTTGCAAAGTAAGAAAATAATAGATTTTAGATAACTTGCCAAAATAATTTTTCTCTTCTATTTCTACACATAGCTAGAATAGATTACTTTTTCTCAAGATGAGAATGTTTTGATTTGGCTTTTAATTGAGAAATTTCTCATACTGATTCTTTTGTTAATTTATGTCTCTGTAAGAGTTTGATGTCTGTCTTGATGCTTTTGTGTGCCAGGTTATATTTTTATGTGTTTCCTTACCAAAAACAACTTACTTACAAAAAGAGGGTTGGATGTTTACCAGAATACCCTGACTAAACAAGCACATGCAGACAACTGAAAAACAAAATATTTTTTTAACAGACAGAAAATAGAAACTAAAATCAATAAATATATCACTTACTGAAGAGAATTGGGGAAGGAAAGTTAATAAATTTTCTCAGACCTTTCACTTTCGCAAAGCTAGGTTGAAACCTTCTAAATTCTTTAGTATGCTTTCTTTGTACCAAATACTTTTCTGAGGTGGGAGAAAAATGAATGTAATCCTCTTGGATACATATTAAATCATACTGTTTAAGTGTAAATGATTTCTCTAAGTATGGAGACAAGTGTAGAAATAGAGTGAACCATTAGTGAGATTTTTAGACTTTTTTCAATGAGAAGGAAATCAGTATTTTCAGTCATGATTCTCATTTTTAGTGACTTTAATATTTAATGATGGCTGTCAGAAAAATGTGAAGCATTTTAGAAATTAAGATTTGTAAGAATGTCATAAATTTACTTATTCCTTTAGCTATCAATTACCATGATTGTTGGTTGTTCTGGCTCCTTAAAAGAAAAAACTTTTCCCCTCCTCATTAATACACAGTATAGGTCTATATAAAATTAGATGTTTTTACATGAAAGTCAGCTTATAAACAATTTCATAGGGAAAGAAGATTATATAGAAGCATGGAGCTATATGGTAAATTTCAAGCATTAGTTTGCTTGCTACATACCAAATGACAGGCATTGGTTTGCTTGAATGAATTCCTCATGTATATAAATAAAATTCTGAGTTAAAATATAAATGCAAAATCCAACTCAATGGTACATAATAGTTCTAATTTATACCCATAAGTTAATTTTTAATATGTTCAGTGAAAGTATTTCTAAGCTCTAGCGGGTCAGTTTACCTTTGTAAGTGGTATGGCAGCAAAATTTTGGGTAAAATTTGATATTAAAATTTTTTTAAAGTGGTCTTGGGCATGTTTGTAAGGCAACCGTTTAAAAAATTATTTAAACCTAAATTAAAATTTGAAATACCAGGGTGGGGCATTAGCTTGCCTGCTTGGCAAGCACAAGGTCCTGAGTTTGATTCCCAGTACCAAAAAGAAAAAAAAAAAGAAATACCAATACTATGTTTGCTACTTTTGTAGTTGGAGGGTTGGGGGGAGGGTTGCTCCATACAGTTTGGTGAAATAATGAATTTTAATAAGTAACCATATTATCAGTACAGTCTGAACAATTCCAGTGGCCATCGTTTCTCCAAAAAACAATGGACAAAAGGACAAGATGTTGGGCCGGGGATTTATAGCTCAGTGGTTCTGCCCCCTGCCCCCCAAGCCCAAGGACCGGAGTTCAATCCCCAGTACCAAAAAAAAGTACAAGATTCTTTTAAATGCTTACCCGCATATTAATTATGTTTTTTTAAAGGTTTGAACAAAACTTTAAACCTGATGTGTACTGTATTTGGAGATGATAGATAATTAAGAAAAAATAAAGGCTTTGTTTAAGATATGGTACTATATGTACTGGATATCTCCCAAAGAGGTAGAAAAAAATAAAATTTGAATAATATAATTTAAAGTATATTTGGTCTGATCAGTTGATTTCACCCCAGATTCTGATTTGAGATGATTTAATGAGGATGTAATCAGGCTTCATGGTTAGAGGCTTTAAATGCTATTATTCCAAGTAGAAGATTTATTCTGTTAATATTAATTTCCCCCACTTTTTTCCAGCATTGCTGAATGCTGCAGCACTCCTTACTCTCTTTTGGGTTTGGTCTTCACGGTTTCTTTTGTTGCCTTGGGTGTCCTGACACTGTGCAAGTTTTACTTGCAGGGTTATAGAGCTTTCATGAATGATCCTGCCATGAATAGGTGAGTTTTCTTTATTTGGACTATACCTAGTAATTTAAATCCTATAGATAGCTTGAGAAGTAGCCCAGTGAGTTTCTTTCATTCATGAATTTTAAGAGGAAATGGAATTTTGAGGTTTTCTTAAGTAGTTATATTTGGATTAAGACTATGAAAACATAAATTCCCATGGAAAGATGATATATTTTAATTGTATGTGTATTATAGTAAATACTGGATACTTTTCCTTTTCTATATTTCTTTAAGAGATTCTTTAAAAGCTTTTTCCCATCTGAAGTTTAAGTGTAGCTTTGTTAAAATTTTGATTTCTATATTACATAATTTTTGTTTAGTTTTTTTGGTAAATTTTAACATACTTTGAATACTACATAATGTACTTCCAAAGGATGCACTAATGAAAATGCAGGACAGTTAGCTTTTTTGTGTTTTAATCACTAAGATTCTAGAACTTTTCATCATTTTTGTTATCTTCTTGTGGGATTTAATGATTTCATTTACATAAATTTATATAACCATTTCTTAAAACCATTTAAACTCTTCTTAAAATCCTTAGTTCATAATCTTCCTGATTACTCCAGCAATAACTTTAAAATGGAAAATCAGGCAGAATGATGGGAAAAAGAAAAATAATTCATATAAAAGTACAAAGTTCATATCATTTACAAGTTACAAAATGCAAAGTGACAGCTCCATCCCCTTACATCCCATTTCCTTTCCCCAAAGGCAACAACTTTACAGAATTATTTTACAATTTTTATAGAGAAAAGTACATCTGTGTATATTTGGGTTTTCTTGGTTCATTTTTATGTACTATATACACTGTACTTTATTTTTCTATATTGTATGTTTTACAGGGCATTTTTAAAAATGTCAACACATAACACATCTCATTCTTTTGATGAAAGAATTCCATAATATGGATGCATCTCTTTTTTGTTGTTGTTTTTTTGTTGTTGTTGTTTTGCTATTAGGAAATAATGCTGCTGTGAGATCCTTGTAGTGTCTCTTTTTTAAAACCTTTAGTAGGAAAGTTTCAAGCCACTAAGGGTGAGGTAAAATGAATGAGGTAAAATGAATCCTCTCATCATCCATTTCCAATCTCATGTCATATGTGCCCCTGTCAGCTCCATTCACCCTGTCTCCATCCCCACAGTGCCCTGGCTGCAACTATTTGGAGACAATCCCAGCTATAATACCATTTTGTCCTACATATTTCAAACTAAATCTTTTGAAAAAGCATGAATATGACGGAATGATCATTCCTAATAAAAAATTGCTTGATATCAAATAACTATTGAAATTTCCCTATTTAATTTTGTATTTTAAAATTATTTTTAACTTGATATTTTAAATTAGTACATATTTGTCATACATCTTGATCCCATTCATCATAGGGAATTTGTTCCTGTGCGTAATATATCTTAATTCTTTTTCCTCCCATTCCCCTTTCCTTCAACTCTTCTTCCCCTCCCTGTTTACAAAAACTTTGTTTGCTTTTTTTTCTTCCATTCTCTTTTTCCCTTCCTTTTCTCCCCTTTCCCTTATTCCCCTTTCCATTTTAACTTTTTCCTTCTTCCCAGTATCAATCCTCCATTATGCTTCTTATTTACCCTTTGGGTTTCTCACACAAGAGAATGCAATATTTAAACTTGTATGTATGATTTATTTCACTTAAGATTATGGTCTCGAAATGCATCCATTTTCCTACTAATAACTCAAGTTTATTCTTTTTGGCAAAGTAGTACTCCATTGTGTAAATACCACATTTTCTTTATCCATTCATCTTTTGATGGGTATGTGGCCTGTTTCCAAGATTTAATTATTATAAATAGTGCTGCTATAAACATGTGTATGCATATATCACTTTGGTGTGATGCTTTTAGCTCTTTTGGGAAGATACCTAGAAGGAGAGCAGCAGGATCAAATGGAACCTCTAGTTGTAGTTTTTTGAGGACTCTCCATACTGATTTCCATAGTGGTTTTACTGGTTTACATTCTCACCAGCAATGGAGAAGGGTTCCTTTTTTCCCACAGCCTTGCCAGCATTTGATATTGGTTGATTTCTTGATGATAGCCATTCTTTCTGGAGTGACATAGAATCTCAGTGTTGCTTTATGGATTTCTTGAATGACCAGTGATATTGAGCTTTTTTTCTTATATTTATTTGCCACTTGTACTTCTTCATCTGAGAAATGTCTATTCATTTCAGATGCCCATTTTGGGATTGGGTCTTTAAATTTGGGGGTTCTGATTTTTTTGAGTTTTTTATATATTCTAGATGTTAGTCCTTTGAGTAATAGGTGGTAAAAAAATTTCCCTTCTGTGGATTGTATCTTCACTCTGTTGTTGGTTTCCTTTGTTTTGTTTTGTTTTTTGGTACCGGGGATCAAACTCGGTCCTTGCGCTTGCACAGCAGGTGGCGAAACCACTGAGCTAAATCCCTGGCCCTGTTGATTTCCTTTGCTATGCATAAGCTTTTTAATTTGATACGATTCCAGTTGTTATTTCCTGTTTGATCAGGGTTTTGTTCATAAAGTTTTGGTCTACATTTATGTCTCCTAGAGTTATACCTATTCTGTCTTCCAAGAGATTAAATGTTTCTGTTTTTATATTTAGATCTTTGATACACATGGTGGGAAACAGGGCTTTAGGTTCAGTTTTTGGCCAATTTTACCAGCTCTGTTTATTAAAGTGGCTTTCTTCCAGTGATGGTGTGTGGCCCCTTTGTCAAACATAGGGTAGCTGAGTGTCCTTGGAGTTGTTTCTGCATCTTCTATTCTGTTCTATTGAGCCTCAGGTCTGTTTTTTTCTTGCCAGTACCATGCTGTTTTTATCATGATAGCTTTGCAGTATTTTCAGATTGAGGATTGTGATGTCCTCTGCCTTGCCCTTGTTGCCCAGAGTTGATTTTGTTATTCTAGGTCTCTTCTGGCTCCATATGAATTTTAGGATTGTTTTCTCTAGTTCTGTGAGGTATGCTATTGGTATTTTGATTAGGATTGCATTCAGTCTGCTTAACCGTTTTGGAAGTATGGCCATTTTCACTGTATTAGTTCTGCCTGTCCAAAAAATGAGGTATCTTTGCATTTTTTGTTATTCTCTCTAAGCTCCTTTTTGAGAGTACTGTAGTTTTCAATGTATAGACCTTTCACTCTTTCACTTCCTTTGTTACGTTGTTTCCTAAGTATTTCCTTTTTCTTGATGCTATTGTGAAAGGTATTGTTTCCTTAATTTCTCTATCAGTGAGTTCATTATTGTACAGGAACACTATTGAGTTTTGAGTGTTGACTTTGTATCCTGCTACATCAGCAAGTAGTAATTTAACTTTTTTCTTTCCTATCCATATGCCTCTGGTTTTTTTTTTTTTCTTTTGGTACTGCGGATTGAACTTAGGCTCTTTGCGCTTGCCAGGCAGGCACAGTGCCACTGAGCTACTTATTTCTTTCTCTTGTCTAATTACCTTCCTAATGTTTCCAGAACCAAATTGAACAGGACTGGTGATGATAATGGACATCATGGTCTTATTCCTCATTTTAGAGTGAAAGCTTCCAGTTTTTGACCATTTAGTATTATGTTGGGTGTTGGTTTGTCATAGAGGCTTTTATCAGATTGAGATCCTTAAGGACCTTCTATTCCAATTTTCTGTAGGTTTTTTTTTTTTTTTTTTTAATCATGAATGGGTATTGGACTTTGTCAGATGCTTTTTCTGCGTCTGTTGAGATAATCATGTGATTTTTGTTCTTGGTTCTATTAATGTGTTGTATTACATTTATTGATTTGCATATGTTGAACCATCCCTGCACCCCTGGGATGAATTCTGCTTGGTCATGGTGTATAATCTTGATGATTTACAGCATTCTGTTTTCTTGTATCTTATTGATGATTTTTCCATATTTGTTTACTAAGGAGATTGGCTTGTAGTTCTCTTTTTTGGTTGGGTCCTTCTCCGGTTTTGCTATCAGGGTGATGCTTCCTTCCAGGCATGAGTTTGGGAATATGCTTCCCTTTCAGTTTCATTAAAGAGTTTGAGGAGTACTGGCATTAGATCTTCTGTAACATTCTTGAAAATTCAGCTGTGAATCCATCAGGACCTAAGCTTTGTTGGTAGGTTTTTAATTACCTCTTTGATTTCATTGATTGATAACTGGGTTATTTAGAATTTTTTAATTTTCTTGATTCAGCTTGGTAACTCATGTATCTAGGAATCTATTTCTTCTGAGTTTTTCATCTTATTAGAGTACAAGTTCTCAAAGTAGGTATTAATGATCTTTTGGATTTCTGCAAGATCTGTTGTAATTTCGCCCTTTTCATTATGCGTGGATTTGAGTCTTGTCTTTCCTTTTTTTTGATTAAGTTTGGCTAAGGGTTTGTGACTTTTATTTCATATTTGAAAGAACCACTCTTCAATTCATCAATTCTCTGTATTTTCTTAGTCTCAGTTGTATTAATTTCTGCTTTGATCTTTATAATTTCCTCCCTCATAACGTGGAGGGTTTAACTTATTCTTCCTTTTTGCGAAGCTTGAGGTTCAACATTAGCTCATTTATTTGCTCTCACTCCGTTTTTCTGATGTGGGAATTCTCCGCTATAAATTTCTCTTGTAAGACTGCATGCTCTGTATCCATATGGCATTATTTTTTAATTGTAGAAACTAATTTCTTCTTGAATTTCATCTGTGATGCATTTGTTATTTAGGAAGATATTATTTAATTTCCACATGTTTATGTAGCTTTTGTGGTTTCTTTTGCCATTGATTTCCCATTTCATTTCACTGTGATCTGATAATATCCATGGGATTATTTTGTTTGGATTTACTTAAGCATGTTCTATGTCTGTTTTGTAGAAAGTCTTGTGTGCTGCTAAGAAGAATGTGTATTCTGATGTTGTTGGGTGGAACACATCTACTAAGTTCATTTGTTCAGAGGTTTGGTTCAGCTCTGATATTTCTCTTGAGTTTTTTTTGTCTAGTTGATCTATTTGTGACAGTGGGGTATTGAGGGTCCCCTGTTACTCTTGTATTAGTGCTTATCTGATTTTTCATATCCATTAGTGTTTGTTTTATATAGTTGGGTGTGCTGACATTTGGTGCATTTATATTTATGATTATTATCTCTTCCTCTTGGATTATTGCCTTGATAAATATATTGTGACCCTCCTTGTGTTTTCTGATCAGTCTTGGCTTGAAATCCACTTTGTCTGCAAATAGAATGGCTACCCCTGCTTTTTTCCGGGTTCCTGTCACATGTACTGTTTTGCACCTTATGACTTTCAGTCTGTGAGTTTCTTTTTGAGTTAAATGTATTTCTTATGTGCAGCATATTGTTGAATCTTAATTTGTTGATCCATTCTACCAGTCTGTTTCTTTTGATTGGTGAATTCACACCATTTACATTAATGGTTTACATCTGATACATTTTGACTTATCCTTGTCATATTTTTTTCCTGTTGTTGGCTCCCTTTCTTTACCTTCTGTTTAACTGTTTGCCTTGCCTGGTGGATTCATTCTATTGGAATTCTTGGAGTTGTTGTCTTCATTGTTTTTGTTTTGAATTTCCTCAGCTATTCTTTATCATGGAAGTATCTTATTTCTCTATCAATTTTGAAAGATAATTTTGCAGGGTACATCAATGTCTGTTTTAGATTGTTTTAGGCCTTGAAATACTTCACTCCTAGCTCTCCTTGACTTGGTTTGTGTTGAGAAGTCTGCTTTGATTCTCAATGGGTTTTCCTTCATAGATTTGTTTTTTTTTTCCTCTAACAGCTTTTAGTAGTCTGTTCTTTTGTTGAGTTTCTGGAATCTTGACTTATGGTTTTAGTGTCTTTCCTAAGCTTTTTTATTTATTTATTTTGCTCTGTATCTACTCTAGATTTACTAATCATTTCCTTCATTTTGATCATCTACTTATCTGTTTTGTTTTTGTTATGAGACCTACTGATCTGCTTTACTTCCAGTGCCACCATTTTATAAAATTCAACTGAGAGGTTTTTTTTTAAAGCAAAACATTGATTGATACATTTTAGATATACATACATAGTATTCATCGTAGGGAATTTGTACCTGTATGTGATATATCTTGCTTCTTTTTTTCCCATTCCCCTCCCTCTGACGACTCTTCCTCTCGGTATTTACAAAAGCTTTTGTATCATTTTTTTCCTTCTGTTCTCTTTTTATTTTTCTTGTGTCTTCTTTACTGTGATTTCTTCTACCTCAACTCCCCCTTGATTTGCCTTGGGTGACTTGGGGATTATGAGTTGCATGTTGCTTCTATGTTTTCTCATTTTATTTTTTTAAATTTGTTTTCTGGGTTGAGGCTTGTAAATTGCTTTTGGTAGGTAACTTTATTACTTTATTACTATTATTTAGACCTCTTTAGAAAACAAGTACTTTTCAGAGATATCTCCTAGGCCTAGCCAGCTTTTGGTTTTTGAGTCTGTCCCAGCATCCTGCATCTACAATTTATTAGAGTCAAAGGGTTGCTGCCTGTTTGGCCTGGCACCCAGTTCTGTGGTACTGGAATATAGTGTTTTTGATAATACCCAGACAGTCTAGGTATGATACACAATAAAGATCAATTGATCGCAACTACTGTGTCACCTTGGCTAATGTAGTACAATCAGTAATACCGGTAGCATCAAGCACAGAATAGACAGTGGCAAACGGAGGTAACTAATAATTTGCCACCTTTAACCATAGGTACAAGATTTATAGTTTTATAATGCAATCTAAGACAAATCAGAAAATTATATACAGTAAGTATCTACTCAATAGAGCAATTTAACCCTAAGGGGAGAAATTTTACAAAGGATGAGAGAAAAAATAGAGAAATAAAAGGAGAGAAATGATTAGAAGCAAGGCTGGACGACACTACCCAAGTTTTGGGAAATTAGTGAATTAGGCAAGAGGGAAAGAAAGAAGGAAAAAACACCAAGGAGAACAAAATAAAACTAAAAACATTGCTCACACTCATGAAAAAACAATAAAAAAAAATGAACAACAACAACAAAAGAAATCTCTCTATTACTTCAAGCCTGTGGTTATCTTCTGGGGTCTACTAATTCAGGGTATGTTTCTGCTGTCACTGGTAGCCAAAGGAGGCACTCACAACCCAGATCTGTGCTAGATAATCCCAGCAAGCCTGTAGTGGGATTAGGGCAGGATATTTTCAAATCCACAGAAGTTCAGGCTGATCCTGGTCTGTTTGTGGAGTTATGGCCTGAGTGAGTTAGCTTGTAATACTCTGGGTATCTCTTGCTGGCCTGACCACAGCTCTCTGACCCTGGATGTCTCCCGAAGTTGTGCCTCCCCCAGTCACTGTGGGATTTCAACACTGGGAGCCCTGAGACGAAGCCAACCACAGCTGCTCTGAATCCCAGGTTTAGCTGGCCCCTCCCTAAAATCCAGCCAAGCACCTTGTCCAGGGGACACAGCAGTTACTTGGACTGGAATCAGTCATGAGCTATTGTAGTGCACAGCATTCCCTGCTGTGTTCCACTGGTGGGGGTTCTCCCTGAAGGCCTCCCGAGTCAGCCATCTTCACTGTGTCTCTATAGATTTGATCCTCTCCCATGCCACGAGCCAGGGAAAAAGTGCAGATTGCCTCCTCCTTTTTCTGTGTTGAGATTTGCCTCTTCACTTTCTCTGTGGAGTCCAATTTTTCCTTCAGATCTTTCCTGGGTCCCAGGAATGCACCTCCCTCCTCCTTTTCTTCTCCAAGTTGTTATTTCCAGTGTCTGGATTCCCAATCTTGGAGAGGTTGATTTGTTCCTGCTTTTATCACTTCACCATCTTCCCAGAAGCTCTTTAATTTTGTTTTTAACACTTTGCTTTCCTCAAGATCCAAGTAAGACCCATGTTGATATGTCTCTTAAGTCAGTCAGTCTCTCCCTCCCCTCCCTTCCTCCCTCCCTCCCTCCCTCCCTCCTTCCCTCCCTCTTCCTTCCTTCCCTTTTCTTCCTTCTTTTCCTCTCTGTCTTTCTCTGTATGTAGTTCAGGCTGATCTTGAACACACTATATAGCCCAGGCTGGCCTCGAACTTGCCACAATCTTCCTACCCAACCTCCCAAGTCTTGTGAGACAGGTGTGCACCATCACACCTGGCCGTACGTCTCTCTCTTTTTTTTTTAGGTACTGGGGATTGAACTCGGGTCCTTGTGCTTGCGCAGCAGGCAGCAAAACCACTGAGCTAAATCCCTGGCCCCTTCCTTACGTCTCTTTTAATATTTAGGTCCCTTTTATCTTTGTAGTTTTCCCCCAGAGTCTGGCTTTTGCTCATTGCATCCTCAATTGTGTTACAGAACATGTTTCACTGCTCATTGTTTTTTTTTTTTCTATGTATACCTTAATTTTTGTAGTACATGTATAGAGTAAACTACCAGCAGTAGGATTATTGAATTGAAGAATATGTCCATTTTAAATTTATTAGTTTTTCTCCAGGAAGATTTTGTCTATGTATATCTCAAGATTGGTGTGTACATTTTCTCTTACATTTCTTATTAGTACTTGGTGACATTAGACGTCAACATATTTTCTAATGTGTATTTTTAAAACTGCCAGTCCTTTGCTTATGTCTTCTTTATGAGAGTTCTTTATAAATCAAGCCAGTAGAATAAAATATCTCATGACTTTGTGTGTAGTTTTTAAAATGAAAATTAAATTTCAAATATATTGTAGTCATCTTTCTCTTCCTTTATGCTTATGGTTCTGGTGGTTTTCTTTTTAAAGAGATGTTTTTCTTTCCAAGATTATGAAAATATTTGCTTATATTTTATCTTTTATAATTAGGATATATAGTTCATGATATAAGAATAATAATAAACTTCAGTAGATGCTAAGCATGGTAGAAGTACCTGCCTCCTTAACATAGTCTGGTTAGAAAAGTATATATCTTAGAAGTTGTCTTTTTTTTCTCTTTCATGGTTTGCTAAAATAATAGGCTTTTACACATGTGGAGATGTATATGAGTATATAGAATCACATTATTGTTATAAGACATGAAATTATATATTGATCAGATTTTTACTCTGAATTATAATTGATTCAAAAATATATGACTAAGACTTTGGATTATTTTCTCTTCGAGTTACATGAGATTTGGATTATTTATTTATTTCTGCAACTATCTAATTTTTTGTTTTTAGGGGCATGACAGAAGGAGTAACGCTGTTAATACTGGCAGTACAGACTGGGCTGATAGAACTGCAGGTGGTTCACCGGGCCTTCCTGCTCAGTATTATCCTTTTCATTGTTGTAGCCTCAATCCTCCAGTCCATGTTAGAGATTGCAGATCCTATTGTCTTGGCGCTGGGAGCATCTAGAGATAAGTAAGAAACTTCCTGCTGGTTTTTGATTTAATTTATGTAATATTCTTTCCATGAATTTGTTATATAAAGATTTCATGACTGTTTTATGATGGAAAATAAATGGATAATTGGAATTAGTTTAGATTAATTCAACGTTTATCTTTTTTGTTATGATATGTTTGACTTAGTTGATTTTTCTAATCTTTTCCTCCTTGATATTTTTATAGTTAAAAGCCACATCAGAGACTGTTATATGTAGACAAGTCTTTCTTCAAAAAAAAATCATATTTTTTATATATGTCCAGTTTTAAAATTAAAAACATAGAGCATATTCAGTCCAGTAAACATAACAATAGGTCATTTTATTTTGTTTAGTGCTAAAGGAGAAGCATTGAGAAAAGTGCAAGTGAAGAAGAAAAATATAAAGGCTGTCATATAGTCATAAAGATAGGTGTTTATACAGTAACAGCCTTATTCGATGGTCTTTCAGGTAGTTGAAACTTACTAAGGTTATAGGAATTCTTGATACCTTCTGGGACAAAACGAAATTCATAGCTGGGTTCACATTCGTCTTGTATTATAGAAATTTTCTTAAGGAATAAAAAACAGTGCTTTAAAGATACTATTTTGGACTGCTGTAGTTTATGCAAGGAAATTACATTAAAAATTGCATAAAATTCATTATCACTATTTTTTTCCAATGTTACACCCACATTTTGATTATTGATTATAGAAATACATCTCAGCTATTGCTTGGAGTAGGCAGTCTTTTGGGAGGTAGAATTGTGGCAGCAAATCTCTTTTTTTTTTGGTACCAGGGATCAAACTCGGTCCTTGGCGCTTGTGTAGCAGGCGGCAAAACCACTGATGACAGCAAATTTCTAAAACATTCTAAAACATTCTAAACATTCCAAAGTAACATTTTATGTATAATTCATCAGATTTATCTTTGTGTCCCTGTAACCCACATTGCTCTACATTCTGCAAGATTTTCTCAAATGGTAGGATGGCTGAAAGAATCAGCTCACAGCTATTGGATATGCTTCAGATATTCTAAATCATCATAGTTAATTATAGTTATTTGGATTTGTTTCTGAGTTTTAATATTTCTCTGTAGAAGTGTTTAGGATGTCAAGTTCAAAGTGAACTCAGTTAAATAGCCATTTAATCTGAAAAATGGTTTGCTTTGACTTAAATACAGTTAGTATTTTGTTGTCTCTGGAAATATGTTATTAATTGTACTTGTTAATTTAGCATATATTAATGAAACTGATTGGATACTATAGAAAATTTGCAAAAGTGAAAAAAAATTCTGTAATTCTACTACTATAGAAAGCAGCACATCCAGTTCTGGGTCTTTGCAGGATGCTGAGCTGTCCACACATCTGGCTTCCTTCTCCATAGTCAGATGTAGAGGAAATACATAGAAAAAGGAACAAACCCAGAAGCCTAGGTAGTTGTTTTGTAGTGCGGTGTGTGTTAATACTCAAGGAGGCTGCAGCGTGAGCCTGAGAGGAGAGGAGGCTGCCTTTGGGGTTGTGAGAGGAAATACAGATCAACTGTTAGGTTCTGTTCTCCCCACCATTGCCTGTGGTAAGAGAATACTACTAGCAGCTACATGGCATTACTTTTTAAAACAAATAAAATGGGAAAAATGTTATTTACTACAGGGAACTCAAGAATTTAAAAGCATGGATAGCTTTTTAACTGCCAAAGAAATTGAAGCAGTTGGTAAACAGCTTGACCCAGTGACAGGCATTCTGAAAGAATAATTTTATCTTCTAGGAGTTTATGGAAACACTTCCGTGCTGTAAGCCTTTGTTTATTTTTACTGGTATTTCCTGCTTATATGGCTTACATGATTTGCCAGTTTTTCCACATGGATTTTTGGCTTCTTATCATCATTTCCAGTAGCATTCTCACCTCTCTCCAGGTAAGCCCAAGATTATTAACTTTATATAATTGATTTTTAAAATGTTGCCTTCCAGTAAAGAAATTATATTTGTGGGGCAGGGCTGGGGATTTAGCTCAGTGGTTCAGCTGCCTGCCTTGCAAGCTCAAGGTCCTGAGTTTGGTCCCCGGAACCACCACCACTCCACCCCGAAAGAAAGGAAATTATATTTTTTTAAAGATTTAATACCTACTTGAAAATACCCATAATTGCATGATATACAAATGACGGGCTTTTTATAACTTAAAAGTCAGTCTTTGTTGCCTGATCAGTAAGAAGTTAAAGAAAATAGAGTGCTGCCCCTGAAATGTATTCATTGTTCTTTGTAGAAGTAAAGTCTCTTCGAGAGTTGAGGAGCAGGAATGACAATAGCATGAGGAGAATTAAGTTAGATTTGGTGGTGTTTGAATGAGTCAAAGAAAACATTATCAAGGTCATTCACATTTTAATTATACCAGTGTCTTTTCTTTCAATTACATTTATCTACCTTTTCCTGGGTGTTCCTCCTCACATTTTAAATAATAGTATCCTGAAAGGACCAGGGATATGTTATCATTTAAAGCTTGTGGAAAAAGTTTCTTAGTTGTCATATTCTGTTATAATACATACATACATTTTTTTCAGGTTCTGGGAACACTTTTTATTTATGTCTTATTTATGGTTGAGGAATTCAGAAAAGAGCCAGTGGAAAACATGGATGATGTCATCTACTATGTGAATGGCACCTACCGCTTGCTGGAGTTCCTTGTGGCCCTCTGCGTGGTGGCCTACGGCGTCTCGGAGACCATTTTTGGAGAATGGACTGTGATGGGCTCAATGATCATCTTCATCCATTCCTACTACAACGTGTGGCTCCGGGCCCAGCTGGGGTGGAAGAGCTTTCTTCTCCGCAGGGATGCTGTGAATAAGATTAAATCATTGCCCATTGCTACAAAAGAGCAGCTGGAGAAACACAATGACATCTGTGCCATCTGTTATCAGGTAACCTCTTCAGTAATAATCCATGTGGGTGGGCCATGGTATATCCCTGGGACTGCAGCCACATTAACCACATTCAACTTAAATTGCCAGCAGAATTAACTCCTGGGTTAAAATTAAAATGGGCCTCAAATTATTAAAGACATGATAAAATATTTCCATTTTATTTCTAAGTTAAATTTTTACCTCAATCCATTGAGTTCTAATTATTGTTGTTTTCAACATTATTGCTCACCCACAAAAAAAGGAAAAACAGGTTAGGTGTATTTTGTATTTACTCCTGAATACCCACATACACTTATACAGATGTGTACTATCAAATATATACTATCATATGGAGTCAGCAGCTTCTGAAAAGTGGTGTGCCATGATCCTGACTCTTTCTTCCAGTATTGCTGGGGTTGGGAGGAAGAGCTGTCATGTACTTCATGCAGGTGGAGAGAGAATGTGTTTACCTGTGTGTTGCTAGGACCAGAGTTGCAAGCATTTGTGTTCAGGGGTTGGGAGAGGTGGCGGAGGCCACTTTGGTAGACCCTTAGAGCTGGCCTGCCTGCCAGCTCGGGCATGTGCACCATACGGAGCTGATGATTGCCTTCTGTTACTACTCACACATAGTACCTCAGTCATCTTGGAAATAAAATAAGACTCTATAGAGTTTAGTCATCAGTCGTCTAAGCAAGAGGGTGATTGACAGCAGCTTTTACTACTAAACTGCAGTGTTGGGGTGGACAAAAATTACGGGCAATAGCAGAAACCATGGTCCACTTACAGTCACTCCTAAGGAGTGAGCTGGTGGAGGGAAACCATGCTGTCAGTGAGTGTACAGGGAATGTTCTTTCTCAGGGCTACTTTTACAGTTTAGGTGGGGTGTGTATGTATTTGTATGTGATTAAAACTGTGAAGAATAAAAGAATTCTTTCTCAGTAATATATGACATGTGTGTGTGTGTGTGTGTGTGTATAGTTACTGTGGTTAGAACATACTTTTAAATACTAGTAAAACTGTTTGCAGCTTATTTTTGCATTGGAGGGAAATGAGAAATAAGGTAGCCCCTTCCCCTGCCCCCACTTCCCAGTTTAGATCCCCTTCTTGTAGTTCTGTTTATTGTTACAGTGTTCTCTAGCTCTAGTTTTGTGCTACATAACCTTGTTGTGCACTTAGAACAATGCACATCAAAAACAGAAACAGGGCACATCAGCTTTAGCAGCCAGTGTCTAAATATTCCACTTTGGGATTCAAGAGGCCTCTGTTTGTACTTCTTGTTGTCACATCACTTTTTTGAGTGCTAGAACTCCCCTGCTGAAATTACCTGGAATATGAGAGTAGAATTGCTTAGCTTTCTAGCTGGCCGCTTTTCTTTGGATGGCTTTCTGCTTATAAGTTGATTCCCAGTTGTTACCAGTTCTTGGCAAGGAATTTCTGGGATATTCCTCATTGTTTTGGGACTTTAAGCAAAATTAATGGTGGATTCATCAAATGTTTATCCTTAAAATTTCAACTGCAAGTCCTCAGTCCCCGTATATATTTTATACAAGAAATATTAATACAAAATGAGCCACTTTTTATTCTGGTGGTTATAACACTTGTGCACATGAAAGTCACCTGAGAGGCTTATTAAAACTACAGATTTATGAATCCTAGGCCAGATGTCCTGATTCAACAGATCTGAGGTCGTCACCCAAGAATATGAGTTGATAACAAGTGGTTCTGATGCACGTTGAGAAACACGAGCTTGTACAGACCAAATGTTTAAAACTGGGTTATACATATTGGCTCTAATAAAACTGCCACTTCCTTGCCAATACCCTGGTGTTACATGTGGCTGATTTTGTCTCCTGCAAATAATCTCATCATGGGATAATATGTTCAGTTGTGTTGAAGTGTAACTGGAAAAAATCCTGTCTTCTTCAGATATTCTGAGGTTATAATTACACTGTTGGCATACCAATGGCTCAAGTAATTGTACTGCTACAGTCATATAACCTTGTATTTCATGTGTAGCTAAACCCAGTTAAGAAGCTAGTTTCTTCCTTATTTTTGGTTTTTACTTATGTTTTTTAATTACTTAGCCATTAGTTCTTGTGTTATTTGTATAAGAGGTCTCTGATAGCAATAGCATTATTACTGAAGTAAAATGATGAATTTTATTCTAAGATTTGTGTTACAGATACTCTATTTGTGTTACATCGAGCCAGAACTGTTGAGGGTAGCGCTAAGAATTTTAGATGGTAGACATTCATGAGGTACATTTTTGGCCCCTCTTCTAGGACATGAAATCAGCTGTGATCACGCCGTGCAGTCATTTCTTCCACGCAGGCTGTCTTAAGAAATGGCTGTATGTGCAGGAGACCTGCCCTCTGTGCCACTGCCACCTCAAAAACTCCTCTCAGCTTACAGGATTAGGGTCAGACCCGGCCTCACCACCTCATGCTGGAGCTGAGCAAAACATCATGCTTCAGGAAGGTACTGAACCCCCAGACCGTGAGCATCCTCCAGGGACTGGGATGCGGGAAGGGTCCACGGACAGTACTGAGCACATTGCCAGAAGACCAGACACCCAGGAAGGGGCCACCAGTTCCAGAGAGTACCCTCAGAGTACGAAAGCCGAAGCACATCCAGTTGAATCCGCCTAGAGAAGCGGGAGTGGCACTTTGGTGTTCCGGAGAAGCGGGCTGAAGATGGAATTCATGCTCATATCTGAGGAGTGAGTGTGTGTGGGATGAATAGGTAGGAAACTGACATTCCAGTGATCGATTCTAGGAAGCACTCACAGTGGAAACCACCTGCCTTCATCCCTTGATGTAGGAGAGATGTTGCAATGTATGCTAATCAAAATGTATTTATATCTTCTATGCTGATGTTTTCTAGAGGTTTGCCAAGAAAATTCAACCTCAGCAACTTCAGGAATGGCCTCTGAATCATGAGGCATAAGTAAAATCAGATTTAAATGTTTGAAAGGAGCGAAGGAAAAGAGAATAAAGAGCATGAGGCCAGCATGGGAAGAATTGCAAAGAAGTGGAACTGGCACTTCCCTTTTTATGGGACCGGATCATTCTTGTTATAAAGTATGAGTAGCAACCAGCCCTTTTCTCCACCCCCTTTTCCTTCAGTTAATTGGAACTCAGTCAGTTGATTACTGAATTTTGTACAGCACTGCAGTGAAATCAAAGATATAGAAGCACTGATTGTATTCAAAGATGGAAGCACACTCATACTTCAGATGTGCTTTAGGGAGAGGGGTGGGTGGGGTCTTGGGGCTTGTGGGTGCATTCACATTACCTGAGACTCTTGAACTTTGTGATGGAGTCTTCATTATTTTGATGTATATGGAACTTTTGTTAATATATTGTATACTTTTTTGGCTGTGTGAAGTAATCTAAAACTCTAATGAACACTTTGGAGTTCGCTATAGCGAAGGAGGCCAAAGTGGGAGGGGCTTTAGGGCACTGATACAGGCCCTGGGTGTACTTTTCAATCTTGTGTAATGTTAATTCTTGCAACTGAATCAAAACAGTGTTAAATTATGGCAATATTTGCACTTTGGGAATGAGTACATAACTGTATGATCACACTCTGCAAATGCCACTTTTAAAGCTGTTAATAGACTTTGCACCTTTTCTTTGACAAGGATGTGTCATATTTAAATTTTTACATTCATCATGGCTACAGGTAGAACTGGGGAGGGGGGAATGTAATTTTTTATGGGAATTTTGATATGAAAAGAAACTAGTCATTTATTTATACAATAGGCTTGGCTCAAAAAGTGTTTTTCAGACTCGGTATTCCTAATGTGGGATGTGACTTCATTTTATTTTTAGTAGCAGATTTGGATGTAGACTGACAGACATAACTGAATGTCTTAATAAATTTAAATTTGAAGATAACTCTTGTTTTGTCTCTGTGATTGTTAAGTGTTTTGAAATTCTATTCTCAGGCTGTTCTGTTTTCCCGAGCTGGGGCAGATAGATTGAGCCCCATCACAGATGCTGCTCTGCAGATGGCAGAACTCCAGAAGGACTGGTTGGTTGAAATCTCCCACTTAAGTGGTAGCAAACTCAGCTCTGCGCCAGAAACATCTGGGAAGCCTTTGTAAAAAAAATGAATTACTGTATTTCTTGTCCCCACTTAGACCCCTAAATCCACCTTTGAGGGTGCCGGAGAACATTTCACACCTTCTCAGGTGACTGTCCATCTAGTCTGGCACTAGCCTAACGTGTTTAGAAAAGGCACGACTAGATGGGAGTAAATTTCTCTCTAGGGCTAACCCAGCGTTTCTCACTATCCTTTTATGGAGCCATGGTAGACAGAAAACAAAGCAGATAGCTCCCTCTACTGGTAATGAAGCTGGTGTCCGAAGACCTAGCAGTGCTGATGTAGGGTTTTAAAGTGATTTACAGTATTTGTGAAAAAGATACATGTTCACATATTAAGCATTATGGTGCCCCGTTTAAAGGAATGAAAGATAATGTTGAACTTATTCATAGTATGTTGAATTTGGTTGTCCTCAGGACTAAGTACCTGTGTGAGATCGCTGAGTCTTTTGACCAAAGGCCTACCACTTTTATAGGGGAAAATACTAGAGGCTTCCTCAGCATCAGTTTCACGTAGTGACACAATTTTTCCTCCACATAGCTACTAGGCCCCACGTGTGTTACCAGGTTTGGATGAACGTCTCCGCACCCTGGTAGATGTGGACACTTACCTGTAGCTGTGTACCTTTTGCTTCACTCAGGAGAATTAGTTGTGGCAAAAACCCTCACAGGTACAGTGGCTTTAAAACAGCAGGCGTTTTTTCCTCATGCACACACTGCGTAAGTGTCCAGTTGGCAGGGATCGGAATGGATGGCTGTGAAACGGCCACTCTTGAGCTTTTCCTGATAGTCAAAGGGAAGGATTCAGAAAGGCTGTTAATCACATGCTCTTCCCAGGCATGGGCATTACTTCTGATCACCATCCCTTGGCAGAATCACTGGGTGGCCATAGAAAGTTACAGAAGTTGTCTTCTGCAGTCCGGAAAGAGACTCACTGATGAGTGCTCTGGTGCAGAGGTTTTACACATTCAAAATTTGGAACATACCTGTGAGTGATTCACACCATACTAGTTGGGAACCTCTGACTGAATTTTTTTTCTTGCTCTAATATACTGAGATGGTAGAGCCGTACAGTGCCTTCCGTATTTCAGCTATCTGTTTTGTCATTTTTGTAATGATGTCTAATTCACTGCAGACTTTTTGACTTATGAAGAAAATACAGTTGAACCACCAAAAACGAAGAAAACTAGATTGTTTTTCCCTTTGATTATATTCAGGCAAGTTGAGAAAATAATCAAATTCCATTTTTCTGAAACCATGTACTGTGTTTCAGTGTTTCAGATACTGCGTACTTATTTTGACTCCAGCTGTATTGTTAAAAATTTAATAAAGGTTTTTATCTCTGTGAACCAGTACTGAACAATCTAAACCCTTACTCTGGTTAACATATTTCTACCTTGTGTTGTTTTTTTCACTTTGTATACTTTGTTCCAGTAATCTAAACCATGCTGTCTGCACTACACCTCTCTAGAGGTCTGATTTTAAACACTGGATTGAGTATAGGGCTTCCTGACTCCCCTTGTGAGGGTTTGGATGTCTTCTTAAACATGAAATGTGTCATGAAGACTTCCCATCAGAAACACTCTGGATCTAAAGGTTTTTGAATTTAAAGTCAATTTGTGAATTTAGTTGGTCGAGAAAATTTTATAGTTTCCAAGTTGAAAAGGAAAGGCTTTTGTCTATGATAATGGAGCAAGAACCTTATAGATATTTAAGTAGCAATAAATCGTATCAGTTATGGGGGGAGGGGAAACATTAAAAACTAAGCTTTACATTTTTGTTGCTGGATTTTGTAAAAGCTCCAACTTTAGCATCATGGTGAGTTGAAGGTAGGAGAGTTACAAGGTTGGTTATTTAAAAATATATGTGTTACATGCTTAAAATTGTTATTTTAAACATTGCTTATTATTTGGGAAGACAAATACTGTATAAAGAATAGAACTTACTCGTAATTTCATTTGGAAATTAGCCTTCCAGGTTGCTTTATATTTGATGATAGCAGAACTCTCTGGCAAGTATACCCCTCAACTCACCCTCACTCACTCTCCTGCCTTTTCAAAAAAGTCTTCTGCATGTCATTGGCTTCCAAAAACTAAACACATTCCAATTTTGTATTTTATCAATTGAGGCACACCTTTTTCTCCTGCTTTTGGAGAAAAAATATGGTGTGGCTTTCACGAGTAGGGTTACATTTTATAGGGTAATACTTGGTTAGAAAATAGTCATTACCGGGTGTGGTGTTGCATACCTGTAATTCCAGCACTCAGCAGGCTGAGGGAGGAGGATCACCATGAGCTCAGGGTTAGCCTGGGCTACATAGTGAGTTCAAGACCAGCCTGAAATACATAGTGAAACCCTATCTCAGAAAAACCAGGGGGAAAAAGTAGTCGAATATTAGAAGCAAGTTAGAGAACTAACAACTCTTTCGATCCTTTGGGGAAATGCTTTGCTTCTCTCCTGCAGTGTACTTGGTTGCATTGTGTGGAGAAGTTTCAGAGTAAAAGTAGGATTTTCTAGTGAAGACAGTAAATCCTAATAATCCCACTTGTCTAGAGACCTGTTCATTTTCTTTGCTTTACTGACACTGATGTTCTTTTTTTTTTTTGGTACCGGGGATCAAACTCGGGACCTTGTGCTTGCGAGGCAGGCAGCGGAACCATCGAGGTAAATCCCTGTCCTGATGTTCTTTTCTTTATCCTTTTTTGTGATTGTTGGCTGTTTGGCCTTTTTTTTTTTCTTTCTGCTGTTAGTAGGTAGAAGCAACACTTCACTTTCCTACTGTTTATATATGTTTCAATGTAAAAAGTAACGGCTTCTGACTAGCTGTAAATAATACTCTGCATGAGTGTAGCGCGGGTCTCAGACAGTTCTGGATGCAGTGCACCATTACTGTCCAGATGAGCACATGCCAAGCTGAGGTCCTCTGTCTCCTGGCACCAGGTTTGTTCGTCCCTGGTGCCCTTCGTGTGTAGGTCGGTGTCAGTGTGGGTGTGGGCCACGCTGGAGGGAAAAGGAGATCCCGACACCAGGTGGGAGCCCTGAACTATGGTTTTCACCTCCTCAGGCTGTGTGGCTAGCCTTTGTTTTTCTGGGCTTCAACTTGATCTGGAGAAAAAAAGAAACCTCTGAGGTATCATGCTATTGTAGGTTTTGCCCATGTGGGTTTTAATATTTACCAGTGTCTGAGGAGTATTGTTTATGTGCTCTGCCAAATACTATTTTACGTAAGGGTTGGTTCACCACTGTATTCCCACTGCCTAGTACAGGGCAGGAGCTCTATAAATACATACTGAGTGAGCAAATGAAATTACCTTTTGGCTCCTTGGGTGAACCCTGTCGTTTAAACATGGCAGAGAATTGTATCTAGAGGTGGAGAGCATAATATCACATGGTAACTGATGACATTTTCTGCGAGTGGTTTGTGAAGGTTAATGAATTTTAGATGCTGAACGCAGTATTTCTAAAACATCGGTGACAAATTTGAGGCCTTCGGGTGAAATCTGGGCTGTTGAATTTCGCTCTTTTATTGTTTGGCCTCAATGGTGCGTTTTAAAGTGGTGATTTAAAAAGCATTTGACTTAGTCGCCAGCCATTTAAAGCTGCAAGATTGTGTACTGTGCAAACTCAGTTGTGAAAAATGGGAAGAGCCAGCTGCATGGGTTACTTACACCTGTTGGCAACAGCTGGTAGAAGCTGAGGTGGCTGTTTTTGGTTCACCCCACTTCCCAGCCCCACTACTGCCTGTTCTGAAAAGCTTAATTGTTATCAGCAAACTCTTCCCTTTGCATAGAAGATGCTAGGAATGGGCACTGAGCAAGTTTGATGCACAGTCAAATCCTGTGTGAATAGGTGTAGTGCAGTTATTCCATTATTGACGAAA